ATGTCCTGATGAACGGTGTCGAGTCAGGTCTTGAGATGCCTATCTCTTCGGCGCCTGCAGATGGACTGTGGCGCCGGATCGAGGGCAGCGTAGCAAAGTTCGTGAGGCAGAAGACGGAGAACGTGCCCAAACTACCTCAGTTGTCTTTCCTGAATGGCTTGGGATATCCGCGCGATACCGTCGCAGCGAGTGTTAACTGTCTCATTTGAGACGAAGTCTGTATACTTCACTCGAAGGATGGTCAAAAACCTTTCAGTATTACACACAGAAGAATGTAATATTACATCGGGCAGTAAGTTATTTCTGGATCGTTGCGTTTTCAAGTAGAAGATGCAGGCCCTGCATTATCCTGAAGTCAGATATATGCTGTCCAACCTGTAATGGCCTTCGTTAGTTCAGATTATCTACTTCATTCAAGTGAAAACGGGCTATGGTAAGGACTCGACTGATCAGGACAGACAAAGGAACTGCAATTCATACTGCTTCGAATGTTGCCGTTGGCATTATTATCAACTGTCGTTATAACTCACCTACCTCATAACAATCGTCCAGTTTAAACAGCATTCGCAAGAGTACGACAACCACAGCCATTGCGAAGACTTCGCCGCGCACGTAGCGTTTCAAGGGGAGGAAGTAGTGTAGCCCCTGTCGTGCATTTTCTGTGGCCTGCTGGACAGCGCTGTCCAGCCGAGAAATCAGGCTGTTGGCCATTTCATGCACAGCGGCAGGCAAGCCCAACTCGACGAGGAAACGGTGGACCAAGTAACAGAGAGGGATTCTACAGTTAAATTAGACAGTTACTTAAACATTGTAAGTAGTCATAAAAAGGTAACGTAAATCTTTCTTTACTCACCTAGGTCGATGGTATATGCCGAGCATGTGGATGAGTACGACCGCCACGCGCGCTAGGCACTCAGCGCTGGGCAGACGTTTTCGTTGAAACAGTACGTCCAAGCCCTGATCGAAGACGGGGAAGCCCTCGAGAAAGGTATCCACCTGTAAGTTGGTAAGCAAAGGATAGCACATGGGCTTAAATGCAAGAACACACTGAGTGACAAAAGTCAAGTGAATGCACAGTTTTGAATAGCCGTGGCGTCGGAAACTACAGAAAACGCAAGTCAGCAGCGCATAATCACGTAAACACTGATTAGAAAAACTCCTTCATTTTTATGCTTGCCTCCACTTGCGTGTGGATTTTATTAATCACGAGAAAAAAAATTAGCTTAAAAAAGCATACGTCAAGGTATCCATTCGTTGAATGGAGGAATAACTTGCGAAAATGTATTTTTATAAGTGTCTACTAAGCGGACACAAGTACACAAATAGCCCTATTTTTGGAGTACAGGTTAGCATTCATGAATGAGGGGTAGAAGATTATCTGCCGGTGAAGGCGGTTGAGACGGCAGTAATACGGGGATCAAGTCAAGGAGATTAGAGTTATGGATGGGAGGGGGGGATGAGGGCGAAGAGCACACCTCAGGATCAATCCACTGGGTAGAGATCCGGTCACGGCTAGCACCACACGGTCGCGGTCAGTTACAAGTGCAGACACGTGGAAGTGATTTGAGCCGATTCCATGTACACAGAAATCGTGAGGGAAGCCTCAAAGGCTATTCTATCGGCTTGGTCTTGTTGACAGACGACTTCACATTTACAATAATCTCCTCGTACTGTCAAGTGGTTTGTTGATTCCTCGCTTTGTCACAATGAGAAAGTGGAGCAGGTACTGGAGGGTATCCCGTCAGAAGAACATCCGTGAACAAATATACGGTATCAAACAAAAAATATGCAATAAGTGACCTAACTCATGTAAGAGACTGGCCGAAATTAAATTAGGGAATTTAACGTATAGTTGGTCTTGTTATTTTTGGCTTTTGAGTGGAGTTGATACTCAGAAAGCTCAATTCTTATTCGTATGACGGACGGCCATTCATGCCTGTCCCCCCTTCGTTCTGCAATGCCCGCGCCCCCTAACCTCATTTGTCTTTGCACGCGGCTGTTCAACTTGGTGACCTGAAGACCACTTGACCGATATTCACTCACTCACACACGTGC